TCACCTGGAGTCCTATGGACTGGAAGTCCATGTGCCAGGCCAAAGGCTTTTTCTGCTTCACTGTTCTCAACCCCAGTCACGGAGGAGACTCTTGCCAAGAACTGGGCCAGAGAAAACACAAAGATGGTTTTCAACCAGGCAAAAATATGCAAACAAACTGGTTTGAAGGGAGGTGTCAAGCAAATCCACAGTCTTGGTTTCTGAACTAGAGCAGAGGGAGGGAAGTCAGGGATTATCTGTGGTTGTCCATGGCTCAGAAATGGAAGTGAAGGGGATTTATTGCCTTCTGTGTCCTTGCTAAGTCTGAAAGCTGAAAAATAAAACATGAATATTCTCAACTTTATCTAGTTGGAGTCCTTAAAATACAAGTCAGGTTAAAATTTATCTTCTCTCATTTCATAAGATGGCTGATGCAGCTTATCTTTTGAGCGCTTTACATAGCAAATACAGAAGGTGGGGTTATCACTCCTAATTTCCCCTCTGCTCTGATGTGACTTTGAAACCACCCAGATCTGCTTATTCTGCCCCTCATCTACTGGAGGAAGGAAAAAAGATCCTTACCTGCTTATTTTCCTATATCTCAAATGTTATCATCTCTTTAGTGAGGAGTTAGTCTCCTAAATCATCATACTGAGGGTATGAGATGTGTACAGACAGTAATCTTCCTGAGAAGAAAGAGGGGCAGAAATACCTCTCCCAGATGGTAATCATAGCAAACTGGGGCAGGCAGAAGGAAGGCTGTGTGTGTGTGTGTGTGTGTGTGTGTGTGTGCCCCCATCAACTTGATTGACAGCAACATCTGACTTGTCAATTTATTGGGTAAATCTTCAGGATTAACTGATTACCAGCCTCTATTTGGGCTTGTCTTTGTTTTCTCAATGTATTGTGAGACATTATGATATCTACATTGTTTAGCTTAACTGTAGTTCTCAATATGGGCTGCACACTGTTATTATCTGGGGAGCTTTACAACTTCTCGATGGGTGGATTCCTCCTCCAGAGAGTCAGGTTCAATTGGTCTGGGTGTGGCTTGTGCATCAGGAATTTCAAAAGCTCCCCAGGTGATTCTAATTTGCAGATGGGGCTAAGAACCAGGGCTAAGAACTGAAGGTTTAGAGTTACTTTCTAATGAGAAATTTAGGAAGATTCCTCAGGCTATTGTGTCAGATGAAAGGACATGTTATAGGGACATCATTAGTTAAAAGGAGAAGACACTGAAAATAAATATCTAAATGTAAGTCTTTCTGTTTACAAAACAGCAGCATCCATGGCTAGGAGTCTGTTAGAGGAGGCCAGTGAAAACACTTGATCTCTCCCAAGTTTTTTCTTGTCATTAATCTGTTTGTATCCATGAAAGTTATGGTACCCTTCTCTTAAACTTTAATACCCACTGATACTCAGGAAACCTGCAGGCCAGAGGTACAGCTTTATTAGCAATGTGTCCATTGGTTTTCCCTGGTTTTCAAGCAACAAAATAATCTCTACAAACAAAAACTCACTGTTTTCAGTAAACATCAAATAGACACCAAAGCCAAGAGTTTAGATCTGTCACCTCCAATCTCCGGGTGAATAGACTGTGAAGCCAGAAAATTATGCCACTGGAGACTTGGAAAAGAGAATGTCAGTCAGATTCACATTGTCTTTCAGCATCTTGGGACACTCAGGTAACTGTCAAGACATCTCTTGATTGTAGTTAAAGAATTCCCTTCCTTGTAAATCTATCAAATACTATCAGTGGTAACATATAGCCTTTGCTGAGCACTTGCTGTGTACTAGGCATTCTACTGAGGGTTATGTGTGGATTATTTTATTTAATCTTCACATTAATTGTAGGAATTAGATGATGTTTTCTCTATTTTACAGGTGAAGAAATTGAGGCTTTTTGTGGCCCTATGATGTGGTTATTATGTTGCTATTGGTAAATGTAAGGGCAATGATTGAAGCCTAGATCTGTGACTTCAAAATTCAAATTCTTATTACTGTTCCCCTTGCTTTGTAGACCTCCAGGGTAAGATAATTCAATTTTGCTTATTTCTCAAACCCTTAGATTATCCCTCCCTAAAAATTTAATTGAATTTTAATATAATTTTTTGGTTGATTTATTTAAAAATTAGGTTTTTTTGTAAGAGTTAGCCAGAGCATACATGACCATCAAACAACAGCTGAGTTTATGAGTAGGTACGGAGATGTTTCTTTATGCAATTTAATAAATCCCAAGAAGGAAACAACAATAAAATCCAAAGTAATAAACAGTTCTGGGGTTGCGCACAGTGGCACATGCTAGTAATCCCAGCATTTTGGGAGGTTAAGGCAGGATTGCTTGACGCCAGGAGTTTGAGACCAGCTTGGACAACAAAGTGAGACCCTGTCTCTACAAAAAAAAAACCAAAAACAAACAAACAAAAAACTAAAAGAGCTGCTGAATATGCTCACGTGTTGACTCATATCATTGGCGCTGTTATTTTGTCCACATCAAAGACCAAATTTAATACTTTATAAAATTTATTTTTCTGCTTTAGCTAATGGTTGTTATAACATTTTGCTCCTGTGTCAGAGATACCTGAAAATCTTCCCAAAGCTAATATTAGCAAGCAATATAAAACAGGACCAGGGTCTCTCTGCCTATTAATATTTGGGTATATTGGATGAAGACATGAGGCATGATGGTGTGAGGTTTTTTAAACACTGACTGTGTTGCTACAACACAAGTAAACGGTTACAGAGGACAGGAAGTCAGTAAATGAAGGTTTTGTTAATCTGCATTTGGCTGTGTGTGTCTACATGGCTTACACTCATTTCTGTCCTGCACATTTAGTGTGATGCCCTTACCTCTGAGAAGTCCTGTCATTTCAGTGCACTCTGAGTGAATGGCTTGCACTTCACTGCTGTCTGAGCTTCCTATTCTTCTGAGGGTCCTGATGTGAGGCTCTTCTATGACAGGGATGTTTATCTGGCCACTATAGAGCCATCAGGGGCTTTTCTTGCTTGGGACTCTGCACTTGAACTCAGTGTCAGTGGGTGAAGGCCATCCATGTGGATTTATGGAATCTCTAGCACTTCTAAAATATGTTGCAGCTTCTCAGTCCTATGAGACCAGTAAGCCTAGAGTGAATCAATGTCAAGCATAGGTTTATTTTCTTTTAAATCTTTTTCTCCTCTAAGGCCAAGACTGCATTTTCACTTTTCCAAATAAAGCATTCAGCAACCTATCTTTTAATGCTGTGGGCTCCTCTGACTTCTGGGCTCAAGGACAGAACAGAGTTGAGGAGGTGATGGGAGGAGATGCTCCTCCTCCTTTGTTGACAGAGCAGCCCATGAATTCACTGTCGTTGAACTTCAGGAAGATGCACATGGCAGAATGCTGGGAATGCCCTTTGATGGTGGGACCAGGTTTCGTTTCTTTCTGATTATAATATATATTATAATTTATATCATTGCATATGTATAATTATATATAGGTGTACTATAATATAAACTATAACTAAAATGAACTTCATCGAAATGCAGTGATAGGTACAAAACCTAGAGAGAGGCTAGAGTGGTCGGAAAGACATTGTGGGATTCACAAGGGCACTCCACAGCTCGCGCTTCTTCCAGGTGTGCAGTGCAATATAGAACTACATCCCATACTCCCTTGAATTAGATGTGGCCTTATGACTGTTGGGCCAATTAAGTAAGCATGGAAAAGAAACAGGGCTTTTCTGGGCAGAAGCTTTAAGAGCCAGTGCGTGCTTTGCAACACTCTCCTTTTCTGCTAGCGTGGTGAATGGGGCTGCCCCATCAGCCCAGGTCCCTGATGGAATCTCCTTAGTGACCTGCTATGGACATGTAGAGAGAGAGCAAGAAATAATCTGTTATTTGAAGCTACTGAATTTTGGGGTTATCCACATAGTCTGATTGGTAAGGAAATCATGTTAAAGCTCCTGTATTAAAGTGTAATAGCAATGTTGACAAAGGAAATCCCTTAAGAGGAAAGGACTTGAAGATTTCTTGTATGTTTGTTTTAATCTTAACAACTGTTGGGGCCAGTAAATGTATAGGACCTTTAAAAAAAGTGTTAAAATGCCCAGGACAAGCTCCATAAAGCCTCTGTTTTATTTTGTTTTTAATTATGGTAAATGTACATAACATAACATTTACTATTTAAACTATTGTATTTTTAAGTGTACAGCTCAGTGGCATTAAGTACATTCACACTGTTGTGCAGTCATCATCACCACCCATCTCTACAACTTTTTCATCATCCCAAACTGAAACTTCATGCCCATAAAAGAATAATGCCTCATTCCCTCTTCCCACTCTCTACCCACCCCTGCCCCTGGCTGTTTTCCTTTCCGTCTGTACAATTTTGACCAGTCTATATAACTCATACAAGTGGAATCATACAATATTTGTTCTTTTGTGTCTGGCTTATTTAAATCCTCTTTTTTTCATTTTTGATATAAAAGATTAGATTTCAGTGTTTGCCGGCAACTCCCATATCTATCTAGCTATTTCAAAGACAGTGTTTGCTCCAAGAAGAAGAGGGCTGACAAGAATCATAAGGACTGACTCTGGCTGTGGGTTGAGGTGGCTTCATGCTTTCCAGGCCAGAGGTCAGCAACCCTTCCCAGCTAAAATGCAAGTTCCAAGCCCTGTGCTTCCCTTGGGTCAGGGATTAAGGGTGCTTTCAAATCCAGCATGATGAGGTTCTGCCTTCTGCTCATATGAGGAAAGGATTGCCATAGTCTACAATTTGAGGGAGAGAGGCAGTTTTGATTTCTTTTAGTAGCAAAGATTGGCTCAGTGTCAGCAGATAGTTCTAGCTTTCAGAAGGGGTTGTGACAATGGGCACAGATCCTGAAGTCATATTCAGTCACCCTGTGGACCATCAAAGACAGAGGGGGTCTTGTTTATCATTCTTTTTGCTTGAAGAAAAGTATCTTGTCAGAGTTGTCTGGGGGTGTTATTACCTTTTTGGTGATTTCTTTTCTTTCCCTTTCTTTTCTATTCTATGGAAATATCATATCAATAGATACACCAGGATTAACATGCACAAAGCCATGAAAACCAGTGATGCCACATGGCACTGACTTTTGCATTGCTTTGCTTTGCTTTAGAATTGCCCTTGTAGAAGCACATGTGTAGTCTAAGATGGACATCAAAGAGGTGAAGGATGGTGGGAGGAGTGGGGTCAGAGGATGACAGGTGGAGGTACAAACCCAACTGCACTGATGTAGTCTTTGAATTCCTGTTCAGGAAGGCAGGCAGCCTGTGGAGGAGATGGGTGAGTCCTGGAGGTCCCTGCTGAAATCTAGCTTTTGCATGTTCTGTCAGATTTGGCCACCTGGAGATAATGTTGAAATCCCTGCCTTCTGTTCATATTGGAGTTTTTGGAAATGAAAAGAATCAAAGTTTATTTTTTTAAAGGGTCCTGAGAAATAATTGTCATCAAGGTAACAAAACTGTGCTCTGGTTTAGATATTTACTCAATAGATATTATCTTATGTGTCAGGCATTTTACTGGGTGCTGAGAATACAGTGGAAGAATAAACATGGTTTCCTCCTTTATGAGGTTCATAGTTCAATGAGGTGACAAGTATTTAATCAATAAGTCAATGAATAAGTATTTATTGAATGATAATTATGTTCTAGGCACAGGGGGTACTACAGGAAGCTAATTAGACACGAGTTATGTAAAACAAATGTCAAATTTTAACTGTAGTGATGGCTAGGAAAGAAAGGTGCCCTGGACCACAAGAGCTATTATGAGGGTTCACCATGGCCAGAGAGAGCTTGTTTGGTGATCTGGGGGACAGAAGAGTTCAACCAGGCAAGGGGGATAAGAGCATTCCAGGCAGAGGGAGCAGATTGTGCAAAGGCCCTGTGGAAGAAAGGATATTGGTGATAATGTGGGATGAATGGAGACCTTTGTGGTTCAAGTGGGGAGAGAGGAGATTGGAAGACAAGTTAATTTTGGGGGAGTAGCCAGGGGTCAGTCATAAAAGCCATCCTTATGAAAATGAGAGGAACCTAAGGCTTATCATTGCCTTTATTAGAATGTATACATCCTCTTTTCCTCCTCAGCTTATTACTATAGTTAAAAGCCTGAATTCTGGAGTTGGGCTGCCAGGGTTAAATGCCAGTTCTCCCACTTACAAGCTTTGTGACCATAAGTAAGTTACTTAACCTCTCTGTGCCTCAGTTGCCTTATCTGTAAAATAAGGAATATAATAGTACCTATCCCATAAACTTGAAATTAAATGAGTTTATATATGTAAAGTATAAGAACCATAAGCACCATGTAAATACGATGTAGTGTGATGATGTTGATGATAGTAAAGAACATCACTATTCAGGAGATATTTCCCAATTCATTTATGAATAAGAAATCCCTACCAAATCATATACAGAATATGTAAATGTTTGCATTATGAGCAGAGAAAACCTAAAACAAATTGTAGATCTCTTCGGTGTTCATTTATGGTATAGAAAAATGTGTTTCTCAAGTAAATAATCTTGGAAAAGTCCTCTCTAAAGCTGAGAATATTAAAATAAATGCTACTCTGCCTGGTGTGTATTTGAGGTATTTGAAATACAATCTATTCTTGATACTGATTCAGGTAATACTCTGGACTGAGGAATGGCAGAACTCAAAACCTTTCATCATTTTATCATTGACACAACTGAACAATCAGAATGGTAGAGCCAGAAGCAACCTTAGAGATTAGTCATTTGTTCTGATTTAATTGGTTTTTGGTTTCTGCATGAAGTGATCACATTAGACAAAAAGAGCTGCCAGCTTAAACATTTAATAGATAAGTAATTAATTTAACTGAGACACTTTTGTGAAAATCACAAATACCATCTGCGGCTTCTTCTTTGGAAGCTGGTAATGTGTTTTTGCTGAATGGCTTTTTGTTTTTATTTTTCACTATTCCTGAAAAAGTAATAGCAGTCTTACTTTGTACCAATAGATTTGGTAACATTGTGAGTTATCATGTCCTCCATTTGGGTGGCACTATATAATCAAATGAATAACATTTTTTTGAAAGCTTACTATGCATGAAGCCTTGTGGTGATACTTTTATATGATGTCATCTTTAATTCTCACAGTAATTTTATGGAGTCTTGGACAGGTGTTGGGCCCACTATTCTTGTATCCGGCCTCTCCCTCTGCTCTGTCAGTGTTGCAGGGAGACTGCAGCCTCTCCTGGCCACTGGTTCCAGGCCAGGTCTGGGCATTCAGGCACTGGTGGAGCTGAGGGTGGAGAGAGGAGCCAGTCTATTTCTCTGCTCCCTCTCTGCCTTGGGCTGCATCTTGTCTATGGCTTCAGCTCCCATAGGACTGGTAGGCCATGGTTCAAGCTTCCACTGGTGGATCCAGTGGAGGTTCCAAAATAACTAAGGCTATCTCTTCCCTTAGTCTCTCCATTCAAGGGATGGTGAAACTTCCTGCTCTTGCTCATGACTGGATTAGCTCATTGTCTGCTGTTTGGCTTATAATCTCCATCACCTGTATAACCAATTCCTTGCACTACATTCCCTCTATTAAAAATATTCAAAGTAATGTCTGTGTTCTTGTTCAGACCCTAATTTATAAAGTTTCATATGCTTAATTATAGCTGCTTTTTTAGTAGAAGAGGAAACTGAGGATTATACTGGCTACATGTCACAATATTAAGCCAAATATCACAAACCTACTATTTAAATCAAAGTCCTCAGACTCCTAAACTCAAACATACTTTTTCTACATGCTTTAGTGTCTTTATAACTATCTAGAAAGGGGAAATCTTATTATAGGGAAATCCCTCTTGGACCATTAATATCACGATGGGTTTTCCTACAGTCCTGTGTTAGTCCCACAGGATTGAAGACCTGGAGGATGGGTTTGAAGGTCAATATCTGACATGTCTCCGGAAAAAGAATTATGAGACCCTCAGGCAGCAGCTCTTTTGTATGTCTACTGAAATTTGATCTTTCAGGAAATCCTCCACAGATCCATGGAGCCACCAGGTTCTGGCCACTCATTTAGGACAGATGATGAATTTCTGATATAGTTTGGATGTTTGTCCCTTCCAAATCTTATGATGAAATGTAACCCCCAGTGTTGGAACTGGGGCTTGGTGATACGTATTTTGGTCATGGGAGTGGTTCCCTCGTGAATGGCTTGGTGCTGTCCTTGTGATCCTGAGTTCCTGTGAAATCTGGTTGTTTAAAAGTGTATGGCACTTCCTTCCTTCCTCTCTTGCTTCCACTTTCACCACGTGCCATTCTGGCACCCCTTCACCCTCCACCTTGATTATAAGCTTCTTGAGGCCTCACCAGAAGCAGATGATAACACTATGCTTTATGTACAGCCTACAGGACCATGAGCCAATTAAACCTGTTTATAAATTACGCAGCCTCCAGTATTTCTTTTTAGCAACGCATAAATGACTGGATGCAATTCCCTTTGTTCCAATATGAATAGAAAATTGAGATGTTTCTGACCTTGAATTTACCCAAAATCTGGACAGAGATACTTTTTTGTGTTAAGGGAAGGGAGTGGGGAAGGAGTCTCACCCAGCTGCCCAGGCTGGAGTGCAATGGTGTGACCTTGGCTCACTGCAACCTCCACCTCCTGGTTTCAAATGATTCCTCTGCCTCAGCCTCCTGAGTAGCTGGGATTACAGGTGCCTACCACCACGCACAGCTAATTTTTGTAATTTTAGTAGAGATGGTTTCACCATGTTGGCCAGGGTGGTCTCAAACTCCTGACCTTGTGATCCGCCTGCCTCAGTCTCCCAAGGTGCTGGGATTACAGACATGAGCCACGGTGGCTGGCGAGATACTCTTAAATTATCATTAAATCCCACCCACAATCAAATATTGTGGACTTTAACATAATTTTAGGCTTAATTTTTAGGCTCCTCTTATAAGAATAAATCATAGGCTAAAATGTTTTTGGCCTGAACAACTGAAGCAATCCAGCATAGCATTAATTTACTTATAGAGACTCTTGTGAAGAAGTTGGCAGTCGAAGAAGAACAAATAAAATGTTGAACCAGCAGAAAAAGAATAATCTCCATTTCTCTCTTTTTGTTAAATAGTAAGAATAATAGTGGAGAGTGTTGAAGTTTAGGTGAAGGGGTGTGTGTGTGTGTGTGTGTGTGTGTGTGTGTGTGTGTGTGTGTGTGTGTAGGGGGAGGGATGCCATGAGAAGCCATCAAAGAGTGAAGGACTTAATCATGTGTTAAGCAAAAATGTGTTGGTGGAACATAGCAATAAGGAAGAGGGTCTGGATGAAGGATGCTTTTATTATGCTATTATATATTTTGTATACATAGCATGTATAATATACAATATATATATTATAATGCTGTTATATAGTTCAGAAGAAAAGTAACAAAACTTGAACTACTTGACTTTGGAATAGCAGCTACAAGTGGATGCACAAGATGATGAAGATGTAGGATTGGTAAGATCTGATAATGGATTGGGATAGGAATGAGGGAGGAAAAAAAAATCGAAGATGATTCTGAGACTTGAAACCTTCATGACTTTTCTTTCTTCATATAGTTTTCAATCCAAGTAACTTTTTATACTGTTATGGAATTTTCATATTGCTAGGGGAACCTGGTTGGTACTCAGTCTTCCTTTTGTTGAGCAAAGAGCCCAGTGCTGTAGTTTCATGGGTAGTAAAAAGGGTACCCAAGAACTTCTGAAGTCATCAGGATGCTGACCCTGTGCGGAGACCACAGGATGGCAAGTAAATAGGATGTTTTACCTGGTATACTTCACTTCAGTCAGACTGGTCCATGCACCACCCTGAGGGCAGACCATGCTCTTTCTGCCCTTTGAGTCTTTTCCTCTGTCACACACCTGTCAGGATATAAACTATGGCTAAATAATTTGGTATCTTCATGCCAATGAGGCTTCAATATCCTTTATCTGCCTATGTTTACATGTAGAACGAGGTCTATATTATGGATCCTACACTTTCCTAGAAACTTGAAACATTGATAACATTCTAATAGCAACAGCGTTCATAAGTTATGTCCTTCCATGGGGTGAAATATCTTTCTGAGAAACAACAGTAGTTACAAACCTGCTATCAGCTATTCTGTACATTGG